ATTATACCTCAACTGTTTATCTACATAATATACCAAAAATTAGAGATAAATATTTTTTGTTTGCTTTCCGCGTCTCTCAAAGTGCGTAGGCCGGCATTAGTAGGTGGGCAATAACCCTAATTCCTATGCAAGTGAGCCTGTATATGTAGGCGCAACATATCTATACCATTTCAATCTATTTCGATATCAAGTTATCCCACATTGGCTTTGCTGTTTTCAATGAAGTTCATCTCAAGGTTACGTGATCCACAGGGTCAAATTCAAGGTCAAAGTAAAGGTCAAAAGGTCATCAAACTTTATACTGCTCCTATATAACAAATAATGACAGATTTGGATTGCCTATGCAATTAGCTTTCCAAAGACACCAATATTAACCAATTTGACCTAGTAGTTACAGAGATACGACCATTTGAAAATTGACGGGTGCGTCCATTTTTGCCAAAATCGCCAAAAAAGGGCGTGGCGTAGCGCGAAAACCGTTTGTCTGAGGGAGCTGAAATTTGAAATTTCATCTTTTTCAGCCGAAATTACCCCATAAACCAAATTTCAGCCAATTTGGAAAGGGTAAGGTGTAACCCATTGGGTGATCTGACACGGAATGACCCTATGGTGAATAGGCAAGGCAGTGGTGAGTCACTTTCCCAAGCAAGCTGGCAGTCGCCCTACTGTTGCTGCTTATCACTAACAATAGCCAATGGGGTGAAAGGGGTTTGGGCCAGCAGTTAAGGATACTGTCCAGCATTTAGGCAAAATTTTACCGATTTTTCATTTTTATTCTTATTCGATCGCTAACACTAGGTTCCACCTCTGTACATACTCATTTCTCCATATAACATCGCAAGTGAACTTTCAGACCGTTTTGATTGCCTGCGTACATGTGTAGTGAGCTGCGGCTGACGTCACTGATGACGTCAGAGACACGATACAACCAGCATTTTCACGGTATTGACTAATGACTATGCCAGTATCCATCATCATCAACCCTTCTACAGCTTTCATCTGCCAGTGATAGTTCAAATTGCCGCTAGGCCGAAATAGCTTTGGCCCCTCGTTGCATACCTTATTTAGGCCCGTGTTTGTTGACACTTAGCTGAGTGACATCATGCAGTACACATTGTACGTGCATTTTGCATGAAATTGCGACGGCAACCTCGTAATTCCTCATAATTTCTCAAGGTACACAGAACATTTTACCAATTAGTGGTTTCAGTTAGTCATAGATATGTCGCAGTAAGTACTAACAGTAGACATTTCACGTACGTTCACCAATTTTGCACACAGGCAGTCGATCACTGTGAAAAATAGAAAAACACTGTTTTCTCTGTTTCGATTTCTGCAACAGTAGCTGATGTATAAATGGATATTTCACTGTGATTACAACTCGGAATAATTAAATTTTACACTCGTTCTAAACATATTGCTGTAAGAAAGTGTGTCAGGGATTGTTATTAAGTGCCGTATTTTATGAGTTATGGTTCATTATTCACAAAAATCTTCAATTGGAACATGCGACGTCAATTTTAAGCAGTTTTTTAAAGTTTTTTTCGGCTGAAAAGATTAAGCTTAAAGAAACAAGTGCCGCGGAGCGACAGCGCTCATCTAACGTCTACTGCGGTGACTCTGTGGTGGAGTGGTGGGATTCTAGTAAACCCTGTTAGTCCAGGAGCTCCGCTTTTATAGGCAGTTCATAAATCTGAATATTATAAAAACGTTATTTGTGGTGAGCTACAGTGTCATTGACACTTTCATTTAATATAGTGATAATTGAGCAGAACTGAATAGTGGTGGCCTGCAGCTTTATAACAGCACGACAGTAATTGATTGCTCATTATTTACCTGTCATTTGGTACATGCTTGTGAGAGCTGTAATTAGGTTGCAAGCAAACAGTGGACATGCATCTGCAATAGCCTGCAGACTGAGGAGTGTGCCAGGTATCAGTCTGCAGTAGTCGTCTATGATAGTGGATATCAGTTGTGCAACTCTTGGTGAAGATTTCTCTTGTGCCTAAACAAACAGCCAGTTTGCTGAGTGCCAACTAGTACAGGCCCTATGCTCCTCTAGGAATAAAGAAGATTAAACCTAAATAAATCTTTAACAGCAACAGCAGGGCCGTAGCTAGCCCGGGGGGGGGGGGGCAGTTGCGCCCCCAGAAAAAGTAGATACAGTACATGGTCACCTTCCCAGAACACACCCTTCCAAGATGTACATGGCTTTGCCCCCCCCCCCAGGAAAAATGGGCAGCACACACGTTGTGTATTACTATTAGTGCTACATTAATTCATCATAGTACTAATCAGTACTGTTTCAAGTATCCTGAACAAACTTCTACAAGGATGATCACCCAAGTATACAGGGTTTCTTCTGTGGGAAAATTAGACAAAGGAGGTAATGGCCAGTTTGGGGAAAAACCGCATCACATGAACAAAAGACTCCGCGTCACATAACTCAATAAACGCACATAGCAATCTAAATACGCCAGAAGCACGTGGTGATCTATTTATTTTGGGGTTGACACAGTTTTGACAACGGCGGGTAAATACAGGAACATTTTCACAACGGCGATGATAAGTTTGAAACAGCAGTGCGCCACTGTGCCTCTTATGTACAAGAAACCCTGCTTATAGCAAAGAGTATGTATTGCGATACTTATAATAGCCTCGTTCACACGAGACCTCGTATTTATGAAATACGGTATTTGCGAAATACCGAATCTGAGACAAATACGCAACCAAGCGTTCACACGCTGATTCGCGGTCCAGAAATGCTGTATTTGCGAGCTGCGAGCTGCGAGCCGCTTTAGTACACTGGAAAAAAAGCATTGCGTCCAAGAGAACAATCAAGCGAACAATGCGAAATAAACAATGCAATGCGCACCAACTGCCGATAAAATACGTAGACTGGTCCGCGCTCGACATACTGAGCGTAGCGTAGGTAGACCTATCCTCTCATTGTGAAATTCTGATTAAAATATACATAGGGTACTATTGAAAGGTAAGATGCATATATTACAAGCATTGATACTGAATATTTGCCGCTTAATTACTCCTTGAATAACAGTAATAAAGTTACATAAATGAAAGTGGAATTATCACACAGCATCTCTGAAAGGCTTTTATGTTCATAAATGCAACACATCTTGAATGAAATGAATATTTTAGAAATAGCAGCCAAGCCATGGAATGTACAGAATCCATTCAACAAATAACCATACAGGAGTTAACCAAACAAGAATGCACAAAAAAATTCAAAAACAAATATAAATGGACAAATTACAGTTTGACAAATGCCACACACACACCACGGTACAGACGCCGACAAAAAAACGTTAAAATTGGAAGTTCAAGTTGGAGTACATATATTTGTAAGTACAATGATTCATCGCCTTCACGTTTACCTTCGGTGCCCAAAGATGATTTCGCTCCAAGCTAAGTGTCAACAAAAACACGGGCCTAAAATAATGGATACGGCATTACGAGGGCCAAAAGCTATTTCGGCCTAGCGGGAGATTTTTTGAAGCTAGAGTGGGCGTTGGATGATTGAAATGGCTGTAGAAAGCGGTTGTACTGGATAGATCGGATACCTGGCAGTAGTCCAGTTAGTAATACCTGTGAAAATGCTGGTTGGTACTCCGTGTCTATCTGTATCGTCATCAGTGACGTCAGCCGCAGCCACTACAGCATGGTATCGTCAAGGCATATTCGAAAACGGTCTGAAAGTTCACTTGGCCGATGTTATATGGAAGAAATGAGTAAGTACAGAGGTTGGAACGCTAGATGTTAGCGATCGAATAAGAATAAAATGCACAAAATCGTAAATTTTGCCTAAATGCTGGAGCATGGAATATCCCGTTAACTGGGCTGGCCGACAAACTAGCGGCCACTTTCTATGCCTCAACATATTTGCTATTGTTTGTGATAAGTCAGCAACAGTAGGGCGACTGCGCAGCTTGAGCTTGGAAAGTGTACGATCCCGCACTGCCTTGCGCTATTCACATAGGGTATATCCGCTGGTCAGATGCACGTCAACTGGCGTTAACCAATTTGCCCTACCCAGCTTCAGTTCATCAACATTCGGCCGAAATTCTGTTTAATTGGGTAATCTTCGCTGAAAAAGATGAAATTTCAAATTTCAATGCTCCCCTCAGACAAACGGTTTATCTCGCGCTACACCACGCCCTTTGTTTGGCGCCCATCTTGTGAGAGCCAAAATGGCACGCACCCGTGCACTTTTCTAAAATGGTCAGAATACTCTCATGCATATCAAAGTGTTCAAAATCAGTTAATATATTGGGTGTCCTTCTGGCACCAAAGCTAATTGCATAAGTGCACATCCAACATGTATCACCTTATTTTGTTAATAAAATGAGCAGTATAGAAGGTTTGATCGACCTTCTTGGACCTTCTCAATACTTATGACCTTGAATCTGATCCGCTGTGTGATCACGGTAAAACTTTGAATATACTTCATTGAAAGATTATAGACCTCAGACATGTTTCTAGCATAATATACAAAATGTAGCAGATATAATATTTTTTGTTTGGTTCCCAGCTCATTCTCCAATTGGCATAGTAGGTGCAATAAGCCTGATCTCTATGCAATGAGCTGTATATGTAGCACATATGTATCCATTTCAAATCATATTTCGGGATATCAGTTAATTCCCAAACATTTGGCTTTGCTGTACCATAACCTGATTGAGAATGACAGGTGGCCAGATAACTATTCCTTTAGCCAATTACTATTTCAGTCTAATGAAAACTCATTATATTACCACATCGTTTGTCAAATATCAAATAATGTCAGTTGCAAACAATGATCAAGTCCGGATGCAACACTATTGTAACATCCTCGGCAGCAATTCGTGTTTCGGCTAGAAGAATACAAGTACTTATCTGAAGAGGATAATGTCAAGAGATGGGGTGTTGATTGTCACACAATATCATCTTCTTGTAACCCAGACCTTCGACAAATGTATGTAATCAATATGAGATGCGAATTAGAGTGCAGACACGGTTATTTTAGTTTTGTATATTGGGGAATTGTGGGAGAAAAAAAAAAAGAGGGAGGGAGCGAAAAAAGGGGGGTGGAAGTGTGAGAGTGGAGAGAGATGAAAAAAAATCACGTCATTCCTAGTTGGGGAGGGATTTGAGGGGGGGGGGGGGTGGAAGGGGGGAAAGAAGGAGGGGGTGTGGGAGTGGGGGGGAAGGGAGAAGGGGAAGGGAAAAAGGTTGTATCACACTGGGTAGGGGGGGGGGGGAGGCGGGGGGGAATAGAAGAGGGGTTGATGGCGCTGGGAGTGGGGGATTAGTCTGTTTCCACGTGGCCATTGAATTGCTTGGTAGGGTAGTCCATTGAGGAGTTATGTAAAATTGGGACTGATGGTAGTCACCAAACTCCTCCACGAATGAACATTTCCTCACGCATTGCCAATCTCACAGACAGACAGTAAATAGACAGCAGACAAGTTTTGTTCTTTATTTTCTGAGTGCACAGATTGGTTCGGTTCTAGTTCTGGCATCAATATTACTGTCTGATACGACTGTTATCCTAAGAGTATCCGCAGGGACAGCCTTGGTTACTCACCGCTTGTACACGATGTAGGCCGACCCGTAGAAAGTTGGAGACTGAGGATACGATAAGTCTGCTGGTAAAGGTTGCAAAGATGTCTCTTATTCTTGAATAGTTTCACCTATATCAAACCTGTCCCTTTAACTCACTGAAGTGAGGCTGATCTCGAGATTACATCCTCTGGTCAGGTGTCAACCATTCGATAAAACGTGATACCAATGGGATATTCTCCACGCAGAATCCAATAATTCCGTCCGCTGTCAGCAATCTGGTCACTTATATGGGCACTGGCCAAGGACTATGGTCCATGGTTGACATAGTTTCGCTTAATGCCAGCCCTACCAATATAACCGTCAGCAGGCAATCCTTATGGGGCCATGTGATGGGGTCTTACAGGCAGAAGTTTGTTTTGAAGCCACAGTAATTGTCCATGAGAGAGATGGGCAGTCATATACTAGAATACCAGATAAACACAATTCTGGAATGGCAATCAGAAACAAAATTTAAAGAGCGAAACAAATCGGAGGTTTGAGTATTCAAATCGGTGTTGTTGACGGAAATGCAGAACTTCCAGCTTGGTCTGGCTTGTCTTATGACGGCTTTCGTGATTGTGCGGATGGCTGGAGGGAACATTTAGGAGAGAAGAGTTATGGTGATATCTGCCACAATCCATTTTAATGCACTCAATGGACCTACCGAAAGCAATTCAAATGGCCATTGGAAACTTACAATGCTGGGTTAAGAAGATGATATTGGTGTACAATCACCACCGCCATCTCTTCATTACCTCTTCCAGAAAGTACTTATCTGCAGAACACGATGCGCGAGATTCACGTCGTGCATGCGACTTGATCATTTGATGATGCAATGAATTATGATAATTGAAACATGGTAAATATAATGATTTTTCATTAGAACTGAATAGTCATTTAGAATGTTATTGGCCAAGCCTGTCATTCTCAATCAGGTTATGTACAGCACAGCCAATGTTTGGGTTTAACTTGATATCTTAAATAGATTGGTATGGTATAGCATATGCTGCCGTTACATGTACAGCATTGCACTAGGAATACTAGGCGTTATTGCACTACTAATGGCCAATTTGAGAAGGAGCTGAAAGCAATACGCAAAAAATATTATATCTCGCAATTTTTGTATATTATGTAGAAAACATCGTTGAGGGGTAATATTTTCAATGTAAGTTCATCTCAGGTAGTGTATTACACAGGTCAATTCGAAGGTCAGAAGTAAAGGTCAAAAGGTCATCCAACTTTATACTGGCTGCTAATAACAAGAATAATGACAGATTGGATGCCTTATGCAATTAGCTTTTCCAAAGACACCAATATCAACCATTTGGCCTAAGTATGTTACCAGAGATATAAATTTGAAAATTGATCGGGTGCGTCGCCTTGGGCCACAATTGCCAAAAAAGGGCGTGCCGGAGGCGCGAACCGTTTGTCCGACGGACTGAAATTTGAAATTAGCAGCTTTTTCAGCCTAAATTAGCCCCATAACCAAATTTCAGG